GTGTTTGTGTGTGTATGTCTTTTGCTGTATGTGTGTGCTAGTGTGTTCTATCAAAAACCTGGACCATCTTTCCTGTTGAACAGCTGCAATATCTCCCAACAAGCTTTTAATATATTTTCTGGAAGCAGGCATCTCCTAATAAATACTGCTTGGGGGAGATTGCGACAAAGCAGAACAAGATGAGGCAACATCAGAGAGTAATGGACCAGCCGAAGAGTCTGATGGAGAGGGAAAGGGCCACGCTGACAGAGGAGGGTGACCAACGGGATTGGTGAGGAAAGTGTTTTTTGCTGATAGAGAAGGGAAAGGGTCGATTGTCCCCACTGCTGCTGAGATAGTGGTGGATGCTATTAAGATAAGGAGGATTAGACCTGCCACAGTGGTGTTCTCACTGCTCCAACCTGAGGGAAGGAGAGTGAAGAGTAAAAGGCCTCGGTCAGGAGGCTGCTTTATTGTCACTTCAGCTTTCAGTGACCAAAGAGAGAGTGATTCGGTCATGTCGATTTGATGATTTAAAGTGATATTGTTAGGATTAGGAGCAACCCAAGCAGCATTTGTCACCACAAGCAACTCTGTTCCAAAATTAGGAACACAAACTTGAGAATACATTTGTTGTGTTTTAATCAATGGTCTGATTAGTTTCCAGGCCTTTCAATTAAATACCACACTTTAAAATACACAAAAACAGTGCAAGAAAAAGTTCTGCATTCAAATAGTTTCTATTGTTTAAGTTGAAACATGAGGAACCCCAAACCCTAATCACCTTAAATGAATTTCTTCAAATTTGGTGCAAACGTTCAGTTTGACTTAAGTAGATATCAGTAGTTACCGAACTGACCTCACAGAAGTGTGGAAAAAAAACATAATTTAGAATATAACAGCACTGTGTTCCCTTTGTTTTTCCCTTTTTGTTATTATTTCAGATTATTTCAGTGCAGTTATAAATATGTTTGACTAAAGGGATACACACACACATTGTATAAAGCAGGCCCTGCATAAGTAGATTACTATTTCTTTTTTAATGGCCTGTTTTTAACCTCTTTTCAACAAATGCATTCCCAAAGCAATTATGCTCTGCCACACATGGGTTTTGTCAGGAGTAAGAGTGAGGAGTGAGGACGCCAGCGAAAATGTCCACGATGACCCAAGCAATCATGCTGTGGTCACATATATTTCAACGTACTGCACCTGGAAGAGACAGTCTAATGGACGCTGATTGACGAGATGGGGACAGAGACCGGGAGGTTTGCTCCGGGTCTGTTTCCTCTGAGTTAGTCGACAGTGGGACCTCATTCTGGGGCTTTTATGTCACTGCTGTGCTTAATGGCGCGTGTGCCTTCTCTGAGGCCTGCTAAACACATGCAGTAAATCAACAGAGGGGGAACATACCAGTTAATCACAGCCTTTGTTTCTGGCTGAGAGAAGACAGTACATCTAACTGAATGCCACAGGGTTGACTGAGAGCGCATCAAGACACCTAATGCTGTCATATCAGAGAGACTGACTTCCTCAGCAGCTGTGACTGCATCTGAAAAGAATCATCCAATCCTCACCACTGTCAGCAAAACACACTTATATAACTGAGACTAAAGTGTTGTTCTTTTTTGTGAGAAGGGACAAATGTAAGATAGCATCACCTCATCGCACAGTCACAGTTAAAAAGCTTGTCTTTTTAAATTATCATGGTTATAAAACATTGCAATTAAAAAAACTCAGATTTTCCGGGCTGCTTTGGTTTTACGCTGCTGGACGGCCTAATCCGACGATATTCAACACGGGACATAATTAACAAGCAGAGGAGAATATAAAGCATTGATTACTGCTATTGTCAAGCTGCAGGCGCTAAAATAGCTTAAGGCTAAAAACAATATGAGAAACTGTATATTATGTGCTGGCAAATGAATCTGTCTACAAACAAGAACATGCTGCTGTTTTTTAAATCTAGGTTGTCTGTTGTAAAAGAAACGAACATTATTATCTTCTCTACATTATGCAACCTGTAATTTAGCATAATTTTAGACAATTTTTACCAAAATATATTTACTGGCAACAGCCAACTCCCCCTTTTCTAATCTGGGAGTTTCCAAGCACACATTTAATTTTTGCCGCAGGCTTTTAGCAAAGTTTTACAGCCTTCTCCATCAAATACATACAGTAGCAGCTTTCTACAATAGCCTAATTAAAAAGCTTTCAAGCTTGTTTTTCAGATCCACTAATCACTGAGACAGTTGGGTAGTTGTTCATGGCCTGTATGAGCACAAGCATACACTGCCTAACAGCAAATAAATCTCCAATAATCAAATTTGAGGTTCCTTATTTAAACGTAATTAGACTTGGGACGTGGTCCGCACTCAACTCAAGTGTGTACGGTGCAATATTCAGACTGAAAACTGCAGAATGTAAAGATTTAAAGTTAATGATCATGGCAGAAATACTGTAGAACGAGTGACACATGAGCGGACGATGCTGCAGCTCAGAGCAGAAAGCACAGACACAGCCGGTAAAGAGTAAAAAGGTTTTGAATCCTGGAGAATAGATTAAAAAGGTATAAAATAAAACGCTCCGATAAAGCAACCCGACTTTCAAAAGCACGGATGTTCTTCTTAGAAAAGAAGCTCAATTACATCAGATTCTCCTATGTAAATAGAGATAAGATAAAGCTTTCCTCTCAGAATCATAAATTTACTTTACTACTTTAACATCGTGCTCTGCTATTCGTTGGTTTGCAGTTAACCCACGACACCATGCATGTGAGATGACGTCATGGTTCAGAGGGACAGAAATGTTACTCGGAATGTCTGATTACATGTTGTCTCTTGGCCTTTGGTGATTTCTGTGAGGAGGAAGTGCTTCTCTGAACTTCCCTGCAGGAATAAGATGTAGACCCTGAACCAGTCTTTCAAGAAAGTGCTCACGTGACCAATATGTGTTACCATGGATGATGAATAAGTCATGGTGAGTTTAGACTATTATGCACATGAATATTTTTATCTTTTCCACTAGAGCTTTGACAGAATTTTTTGACTTTCCTTTCCATCCTGCAAAAATCTTTATACTCTATCCTCCGAGGATTGCCAAATTGTCGGATGTTTGTTTCGTTGATGTATTCAAGTCAGTATTAAACAGGAATGACTAAAAACTTCACCAAATATTTTTGGTTATGTTATGAACAGTTTTTACATTTTCTATTAATGCCCATGCCCTGAATAAATTGTAATCAACTTCAATGTAAAAATATATAATTAAAGATTGATCATTATTATATTGTATCTTTTACTCTACGGCATGTACATGAATCAGAAGTGGAGCTTGAACTTTCTCACTAAAATAAATTATATTTACGTATTTATTCACGTTTTTTTTATGTGGTTAGATCTGTAGAGTTAAATACTTGTTCATCTAAATATTGGCTTATGAAAGTATTGTTTATTTAATGTAGTTTTTGCTTGGATTTGGCTCACGTATTATTATTTTTCCCCAAAAACACGTTCATTTCAAGCTTCTGTTACGATACTTTCACATTTGTCATTAATGCTGTTCCCTGACTCTCATCACATCCTTCCACTACTTCCGTAGAAATCTGTCCAGTCCAGTTGTTTCTTTGTAATCTTGCTAACAAACAAACCAACCAACAAACAAACAGGGAACAGGGGTGAAAACATAACCTCTTTGGCAAAGGAGATTATTGCAACCTCAACTGTTATTGAATAATTGAAATATTTTTCTCTTTTTGTGTGATTCCATACGAATGCTTCTTAAATGCATGTTTCTATTTAGATTTTGACTGAAATCTCTCTGTGCTTGACTTGTTTACTCTCATCTTGTTTCGGATAGCATCACCTGAGCAACTGGGCACCTACGAGCATCAGCCGAACACACTGTGGCCCCCACTCTCTCCCTTTATTATCAGCTAATTAGTGTGGTTAATCAGGCTGATAATGAGCCAGGGCACTGTGCCATTTCAATCTGACACCAGGCCGGGGTTCAGATCCCCACCAGGCACACCACGGCCATCTGAGATGTCCCTGAAGACAAATCATCCTTGGCACCAGAGGACAGAGGGATGACAAGGGCAGCACTGGTGAGTGGTGTGTGCATGGATGATAACGGGAGGGTGTAAATACAAAGATGTTAAATCTGCTGAACACTTTAAATGCATGTTTTTGTGTCTTTGCAGGCCTTTCAGATCTTTCTGCACTTTGGGATCAGCAGCTGGGGACACTGAACACATCAAAAACTGATGCTCAATGTCACCAGAGCCATGCTGGCCCCTCAGATTCACACAGACACGTCTCTTAACCCACCTCACTCCTTCAAAACACACACATCCCAAACAATTTCCCCTCCACAGTCATGTAATCGAAAACAATCCAGTGCTGTCACCTCCCATCTGTCTCCTCTCTCTCTCTCTCTCTATCTCTCCCTCCCTCTTGCTCCCCCTCTCCCTCTCTCGGCTGCCTCACTCATTCCCTGAGCAGCGCTGAACTGGATAACGTCTCCTTCAGCCCGCAGCACAGACTCATTTCTCTACACACCAGCTCTGAGTGGATGCTCAGGAGGGGTGTTTGAGATATTAGCACGCTGTGGGGGGGTAAGGCTCAGGGACATCATCCATCCACACACAAAGGTAAGCCTCAGGATGTTTTAGACTGAGATTCCTGCTCAGGTGCCCAAAGTGGAGGTGGTTCAGAGGTGGTTCAGAGGTGGGAGGGCAGTGGCAGATTGTCTCAGGACAGATTTAAAACAGGGACCGTCCTCCATATGAACGTCACCTTCAGATTTAAGGCTTTTTGGATTTTTTGTGTGCAAGATGTTATTATTACAGATGTGAGGGCGGTCAGTGGTGAATAGCTCCAAATTGGAGATAAGTGTGCAGATTGCTGGCGCAGCCTGACCTGGGATCCTTGTTTTGATTGGGAGCACCAAGTTCAGAGATGAACAGTACCAGTCACCAGTCACTGGACATGGCAGCATTTTAATCTTAAACCTTTAAAAACATTTCACACAGATTAGTCTCACTTTCAGAGGAAGGATTTTATTTTTAATTACAATGTTTCACTACAGAGGTCAAATTACAAATAATCAGGCTGAAGAAACTGAATTATTGGTGTCGCTGGAGCCCTGCAATATTTCTCCTCTCACCTGTGCCACAGAGTTATCGCCTGCCTGTGTGTGTATCTGTGCAGAAATAAAAACCAGTATGGCCTGTGTTCTCACTTTGTTCTGAGTAATGTCAGTTCTCTGCATCAGAGCTGAGCAATAAATACACATTTTTAATTATGCTGCCCCTTTCTACTGGATTTGAAATTGAAAGAGCTGATGAATTTGGTGAATTTACTTTATCACTTTTAAAGAATCTACTCTCGGTCAATGCTTTTGATTGGATTATATGAATGTTTTGTTCTTATACTTGCTTGTCAAAAGCTGTCTGACTGTGAAAGCCACAGAAACACTCTGCAGTCAGGTGGTCTCTGAGCTGTGAAGCCTGTAAACGCTGCTTATCGGGGCTTAGTTTTTGTGCCACACTGAACAAAACATTTCTGACTTAACCGCTTGATTCAAAGTCAACAGAAGATGATCAAAGGACGCTCTGTGCATCGCGGCGGCTGTGAACAGGGCTGTGATCCTTCGCCTAGTCTTTCGACTGACTTGAATGAAGTGATTTGAATGAGAGAAGTGACACTCAATCAGTCCCTCTCTCACGAGGTGATGCTAGATGTAGGAGTGGAAGTGACACATCACTTTTGCTGAATCTAATCGTTACTGATCGTGTCATCTTTTCCTATGTTGCACTTCAGTTAACGTGCATTAAACGCATGACCTCTCATGTTGCAGTGTAGGGATTCTGACTGTGATCAGTTCAGTACAAGTATTGATGCATTGTTCAACCTGTGGTGTCCAGTTCAGTATAGAACAAGGCTGATACAAGCTTTAATTATAAGGTCAGTGGATCAGCAGCAAACTCTTTGGAGCAGAGTGAACACACCATGATTGTTTCTGTAGTTTTCTGAGTGCTTTAAAAAGCTTCAAGTACTGAGTGTCACTGCAGCTGACAAATAGAAGCTTGTTCACAGCAGCGTGTGAAGCACATTTTCTCTGTCACTGCTTCCTCTAACTTTGTTGCCAGTATTTTGTTATTTTATTTGCTATTAATAAAAATGCAGATCACTCTTCTTAGGGTCAACTGTCATCCTGCACTCACAGCAATGAGGAGACATCAGCTTGTTCAGGTCTTGTTTATCCTTGGTCTTTACCATAGGGTTTGAGGAGCTCATATGCAGACTTTACTCAGAAAATGTATTTCGATTTACAGGTACCAATGTCTAATACTATTCGAACTATAATGTATTTTTTCATATTATTTTGAGTACAATTCACACAACTTAACCATTACTAACTTAGATTTTGTGGGTGTCCGTGTCGTGATTATTTTTGAGAGAAAAACACCTCTATAGCATATTTTACTACAACAGCAGCAGTGCATGTAATCGTTGGCAGGGACAGTACATTTGCTATTTTTTCCTCATTAAAAAAACAAAAAGGAGAGAGCTGTCTCTAAAAAGACGCCAAGATTAAACCATCAAAGCTGAGATAGTTAAAGACAGTGATCAAGGAAACACTAACTGTTTCCCAGTGACTAAAACTTGTATTATATAAATTATTATTGTTAAGAAGGGAATTAAGGCTGGCCTGCTTTTACTGGCCTGTGTAAATCTGATGCCATTTATTCAAAGCACAGTGAGTCTGAATTATGTCTATGATTAGAAAAATCCAATTTCTCCAAGGATTAAAATATTATTTATCCTTTTGTGTATTTCAGCCATCATGATGTTTTGAGCTACGAATGAGCCATCAACCTAATATTCATCATGTTTGTTGCTGGGGCGGCACAGCGGTGTGGTGGTTAGCACTGCTGCCTCATTGTCTTTGGTTCTGTGCAGGGTTTGCATGTTCTTCACGTGTCTGTGTGGGTTTTCTTTGGCTTCCTCCCTCAGTCTAAAGACGTGCATATTGAGGTTAGGTTAACAGGCGACTTGTGAGTGTGAGTGTGAATAGATGTTTGTCTCTATATGTTGGCCTGGTGATACACTGACGACCTGTCCAGGGTGTACACCACCTATTGGCCAATGTGAGCATTGGCCCATGACCCTCAAAGGATAAATGGTGTATATAATGGATGAATTCTTGTCATTGAAATTCATGTTACTATAAATATTTCAAAAACAAATTCTTCCTGTCTCCTGACAGATAATAAGCAGTGAGGGTTGGACATAACAGCAGCACAGTCATTTGATGATGACATAAAAATGTAAATATCTCTTCCTGCCGGGCAACCAATCTTGTATTGACACAGCAGACTGCACATTATCACACACTTTTCCATAAAGCGTGGCCTGTCTTTACTGCAGTAAGCCAGGATTTGGCCTGAGAGAGCATTACTGTGCAATCTGATGCTGAGGTTGGCAGTGGAGCTCTAACAAGCCCCTGTCTGCTCTTCATCACTGTAGTGCCACAGATATGTGCCCATGAGTATTCATCAGGAAAGGCTAATGGGGCACAGCAGTGTGAACCTCTGATTTACAGCCCGTCCCCTGTCAGGCCTAATGATAGGGCCGTGGGGCTGGTTATGGAGAAACAGGTGCTGCAGAGTGAATAGATGCGAAGCGATGCTGCTGAAAGCCATGGGTGATTGCCGTTTTGTCCCCCGCACAAATGCTCATTTGCAATATTGTCTTCACACATACATAATTATTGTACAAGCTGGGTTTGTGTGTGTGTGTGTGTGTGTGTGTGTGTGTGCGTGTGTCTTTTCAACAATTGAAAGACACACATTAACTTTAATGGTTAATTTACTCTTTGCCAAATCGTTTCCAGCATAACTGTCACTGTACACAATGACTCTTCTCTGTCCTCTGCAACAGATGGAGCTCGGTGATAAAGTAAAAAATTATGTTTCAAATGAAGTTATATGTTGAACAAAATATGGTCAGTTATTAGAACAGGTGAGGTAAACACTGTGGAACCACAATTATTATAGAGAGTAATCTGTTTAACAGCCAAAGCCTCATACAGTGAGACATTATGGCTCCACCATATGGAGAAAAAGACAACATCTGTAATATAATGTACTGTAATATCACGGCAGGTAAGATTACAGTGTTGATGGATGTTAAAACACATTATATATTCAATGTAGTATTCAGCAAATCATATATATAATCATATTAGGACCCTTTTGGGGGGTTCTGACCCACAGGAATCAATGGCATAAGGGTTTTTTCATTAAATGCCTTACAGAACTTTTCAATTATTTGACAATGAACTCTCCAACTAAATCTACCAATTCCTTTTGAAAGAAAAAATAGCGATACAATAACTATAAAAGTGATGATACAAAAAGAGAGTGAGGTGAAAAGTGGCAAACAATTTTTTTGCAACTAGACAGTTTCCCAACAATTGTCAGTGAAGTTGTTGTAGGTGTTCAGCAGTTCAGTCTCACTCACTGCAGGTCAGCTGGCAATGTTTACTGATGGATCACTGCACAGCCCACAGCCCACACACACACACACACGCACACATGTTCACACACTGGTAGCTCTCTGCCTGGACCATCCCACACTCTCACTGTGTCTCTCCCACAGTCAGGAGGAATATGGGCAAATCCGAAAGTCAAATGGATATCATGGAGAAATCAAGTAAACCTGGAAAGCGTCGTTGGACTGTTGCAGAGATCAGTCTGTCCGTGCTTCTGCTGTTGGTCAGCTGTGCCTTGGCCGGGCTGGTAGTCCTCTACACATCAGTTGTGAAAGGTAATGGCTCTGTCAGGTCCAGATATTACAGATGGCAGCAGTAATGAAGTGTCTGCTTGAAACAGGGAAATGATGGTGGTAGTAGAAGCATCTCCAAAACGACCATGAAGTGCTTTACACACAACTGATTGAATGATCTGCCAAGATTAAATGTCAATGTTACTCACAAAGGAGTATCAGCTCATAAAAACTGTTTTCTGACTTTTCTGACCTTTAACTGCAGATATGGGCTCTTTTTTTGAAGTTATTTTAAAAGAAAAGATTACTTTATTTTCTCCGTGCAAACATAATTGTAATGCAGCGCTTTTCAATGTTGCAGGTGTTGTAGTTTTCATCATTATTTAGAATAAACGAAATCTGTCTCTTTCATCCATCTCAGAACAATCGAACAGGCCAAGTGTGTCAAGGAGCTCAACACGACAGGGTGAGTCTTTTAATCCTGTAAACTGAATGCAGGATACGCTGTGGAATCAGTGGGCCAGCATGTGTCATATGTGCCGCACCTCTGATAGTCACTGTAATACTGTAATTCTTTTTACTGCCTCATCAGCAGTGCCACACAAAAGTGAAAGTTGCTGCTGACACAGACATCGACGGTCACACACAGACTGTAGATCCAGGCTAATTAGAATTTAGAGCTGTACACTTTATACAGCAACACCCACCCGTCTCTTCACGTTCTCTCTCATGTGTCAACACGGATTTTTCCAGGCCAGCTGTTTCGCTCCAACCTCAACAATGTGTGCACAACTGAGGACTGTGTTACAGCAGGTGAGAGGAAGTGTTTTTTCTTTGCCTCCCTGCTGATTCCTTTTGCAAAGTCAACCCCCATCCTCGCAAAAAAGGCCACATACCGACCATCCTGTCCATGTGTGTCTCTTTCCCTGCTAGCTGCTCGGCTCTTACAGAACATGGATAAGTCTGTGAAGCCCTGCGATAATTTCTACCAGTATGCCTGCGGGGGTTGGCTGGAGCGCCATGTCATCCCGGAGACCAGCTCCCGTCACAGCGTCTTTGACATTCTGAGGGACAAGCTGGAGATTGTCCTCAAAGGTCAGCTGGCACAGTCGCGCAACGCCAGGGTCGTGGGTCTAACCTTTGGGGGTCAGTGGGTGGTGGCATTCAGAGCTGAATGCGTGGGTTTCATTCAGAGCGGAAATGTTTGCATGGGTCTTGTTGTTGCAGGTGTTCTGGAGATGGAGAACGAACAGGACAGGGATGCCATCAGAAAGGCCAAAATCCTTTACAACTCCTGCATGAATGAGAGTAAGGATCTGTTCACTCACTCTAACAATTGGACAGCCTCCCTCTACTCTGCTACATAAATACAATTTAATACATAATACTGGAAAAAACACAAAACTATTTTTATTATTGCTCAATGAACATTTACCCATATGAAAGTGGCCCACTGTCATTAGAAGCATCCTCTGGATTTAGGAAGGAAGGATAAACGTGTGCTCAGACATCCCTCCACCACTTATCCTTAAAGGGTTGCTGGGGGTTGGAGCAAATCCTTGCTGACATTGGGCGAGAGGAAGGGTACCGCAAGGCTGAAATATAGAGAATCAAATCACACTCACACCTTCAGTCACCTTAGAGTCTGCAATTAAATTAAGCTGCATGTCTTTGGACTGTGGGAGGAAGCCCGTGACCACACACACAGATGTGGGGAGGACATGCAAACTCCACACAGAAAGGCCCAGACCAAACCAAAATCATTCTTGCTGTGAGGTGACTGTGTTAATCACTACACCACTGTGCCACCCCTGTGCATCAATCCTTTATTTAACCCTTTTGAGGTGAGGCACATACACCTGCATAATATGCATGTATTTATGCTGCATTAACATGTTACACCACCAAAGCTGGTTCAGCCCTGACCACACACAACAGGATCCTTCAGTCTCACTAACGATGAACAAATAGACTCCAGTGTTGCTGTTATATGTTAATTGTTTTGTTATGTGGTATTTTACCTGCAGGCCTCATAGAGCAGCGTGACTCCCTGCCCCTCCTGACGCTCATTGAGAGTATCGGAGACTGGCCTGTGGCATCAGACGACTGGAACACCACAACAGGTACCACCACCTGTAACACATCCACACACTCCTACTCACATCCATGTTCCTACTCAAATGCATGTACTCACAAAACAGCTACGTTTGGACTCTGCTGAGAACAAGCTTTGTTGATGGAATCCAGAGGCCAGCTGAGGCTCTCCAGCTGAGCAGTCACATGAGGAGCTTGGAGTGGGAAGAGGAGCAGGTCCTCACTCAGAACTGTGAAGGATGCTTTAAATAGTCTACACTGCTCTTCCCCAAGCTCCAGAGGAGCAGCCCCCTCTTTGCAGCCCTGTGGAATACTTTTTGTACTTTTGTGTTTAAATGAAGTTCTGATGTTTTCCTGTTCACAGAGGAGGTGTGGAGCCTCGAGGACACGCTGGCGAAGCTCACCGCTCGTTTCCACAAGAAAGTTTTGCTGGACTTGTACGTTTGGACGGATGACCGGGACTCTCAGCGTCATATCATTTATGTGAGATTACTGTTTATCCAAGCACAAATAACATCAACCTTTATGCAGTAATTACAGACCAGGCTGCACTTATTCTATATCTATCTCAGACAGGGGTAAAGTGAACTTGTTGAGGTCTGTTTTCAGCTGCGTATTAACATGCATTTAGTGCTGTAAACAGTATTTATGGCAGGAGGACCGTGTAGGTACATGTGAATCAAAAGTCAGTCAGTGTTTTTGATATTGTTTAAAATAGTTAATGGCACAGAGGAATACGTTTTATCAGGCTTTGGATATGCAGAAAATATTTATATTCTTATTAGTAAGTTTACAGTATTGCTACCTTATCTTTTAAACACTGTAAAAATGAATGTGCTTCTTGTTATTGCTCTTCTGGTATATTGAACAGATTGACCAGCCAGGACTTGGAATGCCATCAAGAGACTATTACTTCAATGATGGAAACTACAAAAAGGTGACACCATAAAGTTCTCATAAATCACAATGAAAGATACGCCTCCTTATTCAACTGCATCAGATCCTGCAGGTAGTTTGATTGTGGCTTTTATCAATGGCTTTTAAAAAAACTAAAAAAACATTGGATTCGTAAAGAATCTTGATTACAACTTAATTCAAGCAGCATAAATATTCCATTTACCTCTGTGGTTTGAGTTAAACAATCAAACTCATATTTGAACATTGGACAGTGAGTTATTCTCATATTAGATTGTCTCTTTATGGCTTACAAAGCAAAGGAGACAATCAGGGAGAAAATTTGCTTTTTTTCCATAAACTATTCTCAGTGGCTGTGTTTGGGTCGGATTACCTGCAAGGTCTGATCAAACCATTTATGGCAGGGTTAGTGTTAGTGTATGATTGGTACTAAAACTAAATTATAATGTCAGTTATCAATCATACAGCAACAAAAAGAAACATGCTGGTTAGGCCAAGGTTTCTACGTCAGGAGATGATGGAAACACAAAGGGCGCCAAATTAAAACAAACTGAAAAGTTCCTTGTTGGGGCTTTAACTGAATCAGTCTTATGACTCGATATGATTGTACAAACATGATCTGGCAAACTTGGCAGATTAAAAACTAATTTCCTGACACAACCTTGATTTTGTTGTGCAGGCACCATTATCAGTTTATTTGATTGTTGGTACCACAGGTTCGAGAGGCCTACCTGCACTTCATGTTTTCTATCGCAAAGATAACCCGAGAGGACAGGAACTTGACCCAGGATGACGAGCGTGTCTGGGAGGAAATGATGCAAGTGCTGGAGCTGGAGACAGACATCGCGAATGTGAGTGCCAGCCACAACAGGAAATGGAATTCAGGGACCTGTGGAAAATTAATAATGAAGAGGTGATAAATGAGCATCTCTAGTCTCTGCTTCCTGTCAACAAGAGAACCAGGCTCAGTTTAGTGTGAACCAGGGAGATCAGGCTAATGTTTAACCTGTTTCCTTTCAGTAAATATAAAACCAACCATCACTCTATAGAAAGTGTTTTTTTTCCTCCTTGTTGCTGGACAGGCCACATCACCAGCAGAGGAGCGCCAAGATGTCACAGTTCTCTACAACAAGATGACATTGGGTGAACTACAGAGCACGTTCAGCTTCAATGTAAGTGAGATTTTACTTCTTTCTTCTGCATTACATTAACAAAGAGCAGATCAAATCATTTTTAATCTTTGAATGAAGTGAACGAGGATGTTTCCACCTCCCAGTCCGTGGGATTATTGCCATCATCCTGTAGTTGAATCTATAGAGATGAACGTTTTCCTCATTGTCTCTGGAGTTCGTTGTTATAAACCTCCCCCACCTTCCTGGGAAAAAAGCAAAGCAAACAAGAATCTCTGTTTAATGCTGTAAACCAAATGTACCTTAACCTGTGGTGTCCTAAACATAGTCAGCAAAACTAAACATGTTAAAATTTCTTTTCCAGGGTTTTAACTGGACACGATTTATTCAAGGTGTGCTGTCGAGTGTGTCCGTTGAGGTCCAGCTGGAAGAGGAGGTGGTGGTGTACAGCTCCCCCTACCTGGAGAAGATGAATGACGTTCTCTCCAGACACAGCACCAGGTCAGGACAAAAGCGACGTCAGGCGCTGACACTATAAAGATTCAGTCGTTAAAGAACAGGTTGAATTTATCAAATAATATACGTTTGCAGAACTACACAGAACTACCTCACCTGGCAGCTCATCATTGACAGAGTTAATAGCTTGAGCCGCCGCTTCAAAGATGCCAGAGCCCGATACAGGAAGGTACGACGTGCGTGGCATCACAGGGCAGAACACATGTTAATGTGAGCAAGTGACAATCAGTTATCCAGTGTGTGTGTGTCTGTGTGTGGACAGACTCTCTATGGGACGACAGTGGAGGATGCTTGGTGGCGGGAATGCGTGCGTTACGTCCAGAGCAGCATGGAGAACGCAGTTGGCGCTCTGTACGTGCGTGAGACCTTCGCTGGAGAAAGTAAACGAATGGTGAGTTGTTTTTTGGGGTCTATTAACACCACTGAACCAATCGGATATTCATATTTGTCAGAGCATGGAAATCAGTTACTACCACAACAGATGTTTACGTCAAACTATGATGCCTGAGCTCGTGCGCAGAAGTTCATGGTGTGACATACATTATGTGCACCAAATTGACTTGGAGCGGCCAAGAGTCAATTGTCAAGCTTCACTGTGCATTACGCGTCACCAAGATACGAGTCTACAGTCATTCATTCTTCTTTATTCACTTTTGTAATATTATAAATGACGATATTTTCGTAACATAAAATATTCTTTTTATCAAGTATTCAAAACACAATGCAGTTTAGTTCTAGGAAATGCATTTGATGGCAGATGTTAATGTTACACATTATTCTAATGAAACTGTAACTATAACTATTATATTATATTACAACTCTATTCTATACTTTATTCTATTTTATACTTTCACACATTCTAATGTCTTCCTCATTCTGACTATCTTACTAAGATATCTTACGATCTTATCTTATCCTATACCTTAAGTCAATCTACAATGACAGTACAGCAAAATGCAGTTTAAATAATATAACATATGTCATCATAGTAAGAATTATAATTATAACAAATACAGTGATGTTAAAAACACGTCAAGTATTACAGGTACATCCAGCATTTTGTGTCCATATCTTGAAAAATGTTGTGCCATGAAAGAAAACATCCTCTAATTTGTAGCCTTGGTTACCAGGAGCTCTTAATTATGACAACGTTACTTCTGTACTGGATTGTGACTTCAATCTTTGAGATATGTTCTAAATGTTCCCAGGTCAGTGACCTCATCGGTAAGATCCAGAAAGCCTATGTGGAAACTCTCGAGGAGTTAAGCTGGATGGACGCTCCCTCAAAAGAGAAAGCAAGAGAGAAGGTGCAGTTTGTAGTCAAACTGAGAGAATAATGGACGATCTTCCCCACATGTTTTCTCATCATACAGATTATTCTGCTTCTCTTATAGGCCATGGCAATCAAGGAGCACATTGGTTATCCAGATCACATTCTACAGCAAAGCAACCTGAAACTTGACCAGGAGTACGCTCATGTAAGTAAACACCGAGTCCATGTCTACAGGCACACTCATAAATATCAGACAGTATGATTGATTTGTTTCATCTAATTCAATGTATCATTCCATGGGAACTTAAAAAACACGCTGTCTTGCAATGTGTGAGAGAAAGTTAAAAAAAATCCTTGATCCGCCTCCTAATCTGGATCTGCACCAACATGTAATGGGCCCTCCCCTGAGCCAAACTTCATCCTTCCACCAAGTTTCGTGGTAATCCGTCCAGTAGTTTTTGTGTAATGCTGCTTACTTACAAACAAACAAATCCAGATTCACTACATCCAGATTCTTCACACACACATAAATATCAGTCCCCGAAACATGATCCAAGAAGTGTTCTCTGACAAATTAATGAAAATGTTTAAAAACACCCTAAATTGAATGGGTTCTTCCTTGGGTCATGCCCCACCCCTCCACAAAAAGTCATGGAAATCAGTTCAGCAGTTTTTGCGTAATTCTGATAACTAACTGACAAACGAACATAGAAAAAAACATAAGTTCTTTGGTAAAGATAACAACTTAAAGATGCACTTTCACTGAGTTCTTCCTGTTTCTCTTCCCAGCTGAACTTCAGTGAAGAACACTACTTTGAGAACATCCTGGAGAACCTGAAGTCTGAGGCGCACAAGAGTCTGAAGAAGCTCAGAGAGCCGGTGGATCCTGACTTGTAAGCTGATGATTGTACAAAATGCTCTTATTTTGTAAAAAGACAAAGTCGTGTACTCAGGAAAGTTGGACAGAAAATGTCATCCAAGGTTAAAACACAAATTCCTCTTCTAAGTGAGTTGGATTACACAAAAATGGTTTGCGAGACAGTTTTTCATTTTTGCTCCTCTGTCTGTTCCCAAGATGATAAACCAGGTCGTGTTCAGCCTAAATATAAAAAAACGAATTTAATGAAATGGACATGCTGCACCAATTCACTGCTTTTATAGTCCCAAGAAAAAAAACGACGTGTGTCCTCATCAAGAGAATCAAAGAACATTGACCATGAAGGTCTAAATATTTTTTTTCACAGAGCAAAATATGCTCCATTTGTGAATCCTGCTTCCTCCAACTGAAAATGCAGCTTGTGCTTTTCTATGGGTTTTAATCCATTTTTCTCAATCACCCCTCAGATGGATCATTGGTGCTGCTGTGGTGAACGCATTCTACTCACCCAACAGAAACCAGATAGGTGAGAGCCTCAGTGAGGCCCTCAGAGGTGTTTTCATAGAATAACATAGTCTCTCTTCAATATAATCCTTGTCAGTGCTGCCTGTACACAGTGTTTTCACTCCTGTTGTTTTCGTGTGTCCAGTGTTTCCTGCTGGGATCCTGCAGCCGCCGTTCTTCAGTAAACATCAGCACCAGGCCCTGAACTTTGGTGGAATAGGAATGGTTATCGGACATGAGATCACACATGGATTCGATGACAATGGTGAGACGCTAGTGACTCATGGTGGATATTTTTAGAAACCTGAACGTATAAATACAGTTTATCATAAGAACGACCCATTTCAAATTTGTCAAACAAGCTGTTTTTCAAATGCTACCAAGTTTGGAACATGAAAACATCACTTAACCTCACACGTTGTCTCCTTACAGGTCGTAATTTTGACAAGGATGGAAATATGCTGAACTGGTGGAGTAATTACTCTGCCGAGCATTTTAAAGAGCAGTCACAGTGCATGGTGCAACAGTACGGCAACTTCAACTGGAAGCTAGCAGGTGGACAGAACGTAAGCACCTGTGTGGCCTGTGTGAAATGAGAGGTTTTGTCTCAGCTGTAATCCCCGACTGTGTGAACCATGCATTAAGTGACCAGCAGAATGAGTGGTTTCACGTCGGTGTGTGGTTTTTGTTTGTGTGACGACAGGTGAGTGGAATCAGCACTTTGGGGGAGAACATTGCAGACAACGGAGGAGTTCGTCAAGCATTTAAGGTTCAGTTCAAAAGCACTTAACCACATTTAATATTAAGGCAATGAAAACTAAACATTATTTCCTGCACATCAAATTTTTTTAGGTATATGTGTATGTATTTTACAGGCTTATCTGAAGTGGGTGGAGATGGAGGGCGAGGAGCCACGTCTACCTGGGCTCGACATGGATCACAAGCAACTTTTCTTTCTTAACTTTGCACAAGTGAGTATAACTGAAGGTATGTTTTGTTACTGAAAGTTTCGAGAGCGAAAGGTCAGGAGGAGCATTTTTCCGAGGATGTTTGGTCCTGAGAAGTAAACAGGGCGTCAGGGGGTGAGACACTGAAACAATCGCAGATAAAAATCAGTGCTTAGCTGAAAAACATAGAGAATGAGGAAAGCTGCAAAGTAAACACCCTTTTGATGCCACGGAATTTAAAACAAACCAAAAACTGAAAGTGCACGAGAGCAACAAGTCAGTTGTGTTGGTACATGAGTGAAAACAATTGTGAAACCTGCACATATAAGAGCTGTGAATTAAGATAATTATCAAAATTGTTATAATATCTTATAAACAGGTGATATTATTACACATTCTGAATAAATTATGATAAATATTTGAGCTGAGATGTGAATTGTGGATTTCATTTTTTAATGGAAAATATCTGCAGGAACTTTGATTTAACATTTAATGACAGCTTTTCTGAACAGATTTCTCTCTTCTTCTCTCCTCCCTCTCTAACTGTTTTATCTCCAGGTGTGGTGTGGTGCTTATCGACCTGAGTATGCCAGCCAGTCCATCAAGACCGACTCACACAGTCCCTTAGAATACAGGTAATCAGCTTCAGTATGACCTGGTGTTAAAATCAGAGACAGCACATTTTAAAACCAGTGAGGATTTACTGCTTTAACCGGGGAGGTTGTGTTTTTGCCAAATCATTATTTACAGAACATTAACATTGATCATCTCTAATCATCCGTTTTAAGTACCTTTTACATCTACAGCCCCTTGAGCTGCATTTTTTGCAATAGGGAATTTGTTATTATTATTATTATCATTATCATTATTATTATGTATATTTTTCAATGTTTTTCATCCTTTGTCTTTAGGGTGCTTGGATCTCTCCAGAATTTCGAAGCGTTCTCAGAAGCTTTCCAGTGCAAGAAGGGCAGTCAAATGAACCCTGAGCTGAAATGTCGTGTTTGGTAGAAGGTTATATTCATGAAATAATTATATCCTGATATGGGCCACTCAAAACAAAAGAATAAGTTTTACTTTGTAAACCCACAGAGATCATTCCGCTGAAGACTTATTCCAGTTTATTTTCATGCAGACTGACAAGCTCTCAAGTTTCAAAACTTGAAATATGTCGTGTACTATATAAAAAAAGAAACTTGCTTGAGTATGTTCTCAAGTTTGAAATGTTGTCTCTCAGTCACTTGTTCTTATTTTTGCTGTGTCCCACAACAGAAGACGAGTGGGGACGTGACTGAAAATATAACGTAGAAAACAAAAGATCTTGTGAAAGACTTTAAATACATGACTGCCTTTTCTTGAATTAATCATTTAAAAAAAATATTCTCTGGTTCAAATCTTTGTGATTTATCCTTTAACGTCTGACACTGAGTTTCCTCTGTGTCTATCCTCCGACGTGTTGTTTTCAAGATGTTGTGCCACGCTAGAAAAAAACAATGGTGAACCAATCTAACACTGACTGAAGTGCGAGTCTGAAAGAAATTCAAAGCTGGTGAAAGCTACAGCAGAATTAGTCACACTCTGAGAGTTTGGTTATTCACTGTTACATGAAACAAATTACCTTAAGACTTTAAGACTGTTAAATCTTTGCAGCTTTAACCTTAAATTAACATTCTGAGAGCTGTGGCTGTCAACGTTTTTACACTGGATGAACATTTAAAGTTTGGAGACGCATTTAGTAGTTTTGCAGTTTTGTCACATCCTGCAGTCCTCGGTGCAGAAGTGTTTGCTGTAACAAACCATTATACAAATGTTTTGAAAAAATATTGGTGGCCTACCACATTTTAGTGAGAAAACCCCAGCACTCGTTGGATGTAGTCACGTGATAATGATGAAAATGTCACTTTATTGCATTATTGGTTAACGACATGTCAGACTTTAATCACTTAGATGTATGTTTAGGTGAACTGTAAAACGCTAATCCCAGTTGTGTTGTGTGTTTGAAGCCCACTCCCCCACAATTTTCTGCTTCCACACACTTACAGCCTTTGAAATTCATTCTGGTTTATTTTAGTTCTAAAATTCCCAACACCTGCCGTTTATTAGACGACTCGTACTTTAAATTGCTCAAACTTTTAAATATCTCTTTGTATGATATGTGTATGTTACATTTAACCAAAAAGGGTGGCCAGTGTGTAGAAGAACTGGTCTTCTCTTTTACTCCACTTTCTCCTGAGACAAGACTTGAACACAGTGATTACTAGAATTTTAGCCTTTGGGGGGGGGGCATAGCCAATTACACACTAAGGGGAGTGGAGAAGAAAACCCCTCAGATACACTCACCCATGGACAGGCAGCTGATGAAGTGGTTTGCCTTCTGATCTCGCATTGATCAGCGCCGACGGAGATGAAAGGGCGAAGTGCAGTGTGCTGAAGCGTGGTGACCGCTGTGGTCGAACCACGAGCGGGCAACTCTGAACAATAGAGCTCGTCATTAAAGAGGCGGCCAGGGCCAGGACTGTTATTTTCTACCTTTATTAACAAGTAATGACAGGAGAATCAAAACTGAACACAACTCCTAAGAGAGGCTGGATGTAGCGGAGCCACCATCTCTGTGCCGAACAGAGCTTTCAAACACGGCGGAAAAGAAAATATACACACACGCTAACAACACACATCCAGTTTGAATGTCTTCTTTGTCGTTGGTCACATTCAGAATGCCTCGGTAAACTGAACACGACTGTTAGGTCTCAACAGAGGCTGATGAACTGAATGTGCTTATTGAAGCTTTTTATTCTCAGTCTGTTGCTCAATCGTCACATATTGGTAAATACTGTTGTGTTCAGCAGAGGGAGGGGACACAGTGTAACTGTTTTACTCACAATGTAAGGGGATATAGTGTGCCGCCATCTTATAGCAAAGGTTTAACATTTTGGGAAACCTGTGTCTCAGAGTCAGATGAGGAAAGTGATACCGCTCATATTTAGTCATTGAATACCAAGCTATTGCTAACAGGTCGTTTATATTAGCATAAAGAGTAAAAACAGGTGAATAGCTAATCTGGCTCTGTCAAAAATCACTCTGAAGTCCTCATTTTCCAGTTTAATTGGTTTGAATTAGTTATTTGATGCGATGACGATGGGTTGAAATGTCTGATTGACAGCTGAGATTGAGTCACGGTTCGTCTAGCATGTTATCGTCGGGACCTTGCTCCATATCTTAGCTTCATGTCTGGATCGTGGGAGGAAGTGGAGATAGGTTGTCCAACTTTACATACAGTCTACGGCTGCAACCATTCACTCGCTGATTTCACACTCAGATTTAATAATGACCTTCAGAAAAATCAGGCCGGCTTCTTCCCCGTTTCTTAGTTTTTGTGCTAAGCTAAGCTAACCAGCTGCTGTTTTCTGCTTAGCCTCCGGCCTACTTAACGGACAGATGTGAGAATGGTATCAATCTTTTCATCTCACTTTCTGTGTGAAGTGTAGTTAAAAAAAAAAAGACTTTACTCAAAGAACTGCTGGAGGCCACGTCATAAGCTCAGAGGATTTATGAGTAACAGCTAAGACTCTTGTATCGTTTGTCAGATTTTCTTCAAAATGAGTAAAACAGCTCAAAACTGTTTCGTGAAAACAAGAAGTACATGATATAAAATGTGTTGTTGTAGATATGTTCTATACGACTGTATTTGCATAGTAAGGCTTCAAATCAGGTAAGACAGAAAGAGTATATTTCTTGTTCACTTACATGGTGTTCAATTGTGTGGTTTTGAAATTATCAGCCAAGTACAACTCAATGTTTTTTGCTATATATGAACATGTTTTCATCTATAGTGTATACCCATCAGAGGAGTTTATTTATCTACTGAATATTTATGAAATAGCCTTGTTGCTTTGCAAGCATTCAGATGTTTTATGATTGTTCCTGCTGCTATGTAATTATTTAGACTAACTGCTATTTTTGTGATCCGTAATTATTGCCATTAAAGTGACTGTCTCAACTGTGACCCCAAGTCTCAATTGCATTTATATATATATAGAAACCCAACAAACCCATGTGGGACTGATTCGGACCCTGTGCAGGAGGAAAAAGATGTTCCCAGAGGCAGGAGGACCCCTCTGAGGCTAATTTAAAAACACTGATGGCTATCGAGGCTGCTCTGAACTCCTGATTCACTCATAAAGCTGAAGGGAGAATCGTGATAAACAGGTTATAGGAATTTGGCAACAAACCACATAAAAGTAAACTATTAAAATGCTGTTGGAAAAAAAGGGAAACAGATTTAGGGAATAATAACAAGTTAAAAGCAAACAACCCCTCTGAGTTTTTTTTCCTAATTTAAGTCGACTTTAATCTGTAGACCTACGGAGGAAAACACTTAATAAACCGGTAACAGAGCAGGAAGTCAAGGGAGCTGTGAATTCCCAACAAGCAAAGCACCAAGCCCAGATGAGCTGTGAGTTCTGTGAAGAATTTAAATCCTTACTAACACAACTCTTGCCTAATGACTCACTGAGGAATGCCTTTCTTCCCAGGATGCAAACAGGCCGATATCAGATTTATTGTTTAGAGGGGGGCCTGTGAGTCCCTTACTTTGGGCCCTTAGCAAAATATGTAGTTGAAGTTGGACTGAACAGATCATGTAACCTGTGTGTTCACTGTTTGTGCTGCAAGACTTTACAGTAAACAAACCCCTTAGCCAGCACCCAGACCCACCAATACTTCTACGGTTACTACGCAACCTTACTTGTTGAGCAAGAAAATACATTGCTGATATGGACAAACTACAATCTTCCAACCATAAGTAGGTGGCACATGATTTGTTATGAAATTTGTATATTATCACATTATGTCTCAGGAAAATAAGGTGCTGTACTGTAGAGGGATGTCTGTTGGCCTGTTTTGTTTGTTTGTTAGAAAGTTTTATGAAGATATAACAAAATGCTCACAACTGTCAAAATGAAAGTGAACAACAGATGGAAAAAAATAACACATAGGTGGTTAGACGGAAAAAACATTATTTTTATACAAAATACCTGAAAGTAAAATATGTTTATGTATGTTTACTTGTATGTATAGCATAGTCCTTGTTTGTCAGGTTACAATCATGCAATTGTTTCTCAAAAAAAAGACTTAAAATGTTTAGAATTTTAAGTTTAATTACAGTTTGATATGAACATAATAATTTCATTTTGAAACATGAGTGTTATAAATGATAATAAAACTTCAATTTAAAAGATAACCACACCAATCAATCTGTAAGTGTAAAGTAAGTTAAAAATGATACAAAACATTTATTGCAAAAAATCATTATAAATTAAATAGGTGAAATTACACACAATTAAAAACTCAATGACATTCCACTTCTTCAAATCTCCATTTGAGTTGTGTTGATCAGGTACCATGAGGCGCCGTCATCATCGTGAACAAACATCATCATTACACTGCAAGACAAAGTACAGAGGTTAAATACGCAAATAATGAGCTTGAACAATGTTATTGACACAGAGCCTGATGCAAGAGAGCCATTTGTTATTCAGACTTCAGGTGTAAGTCTGTTTACTGGCAGTCAAGTTAATCTGCTCCCACAAATCTAGTTTGTGATTCAGCACTGATGCCAGCGTCTTAATTACAGATTACGTTGTGGAAAACTTTGGGTGAGGTTCACTCACCAGATGGAGAAATAGCTTCTATTGATACCTTAACTACACATATTCCCTGAACTGCTACTGAGTTCAGGATAAAGATGTTATGATGTATCTGCTGCAGGGTTGATAATACTAGGCATCAATGTTTTAATGTTTACTAATACATGTCCTAGACCCCTAAATGTAAGGCTATCCATTTACTGGGGGAAATCACTGACCTTATCATGCCTTATGTTTTTCATTATTAATCAAACTCATATCATGGATGCATGTTTTTCAGATCACATGCCTGTTTAAATGTCACACTACCTAAGCATACTGCTTAAACCCCAGATTATTAGTTATATACTCTGCATTAATTTCTCTCTCTAAAGATCAGTTTGCGGATTAATTTATTTCCTTTTTCTATTCATCAGCTATCCTGGAATCAGTAGCTCCCATCAAAAATAAACATCCCAAACTTTTTTTCCATTAATAGATAAAACTCAGTCTGTTGAAAAGCTGAAGATAGAGGAGAGATCGTCTCTCATTTAATTAATTAAATAATTAAAACACTGTCTGGATCATTTTCAACCGGCAGCAAAAGGAGTCAAATAGCAAAGACATGTTGCTGAGATAATCAGTAATGATTCCAAAATTGGCAATCCTGTCTATCACTATACATTCTGTCCATGTTGTTGAAACAATTTTTCACTGAGAAAATATTCTCTGTTCTCTGCTCTTCTCTCGGGCGCCCGCCCCACTGCTCAGGGGGCTCGGCCACCTTTAATCGATTTCTTTTGGTTTCCTTGATGGGTTGAGTCACAGAGTCACGCATATGAAAAACACAATGTCCTCTCGTGACGCTGCGCCCTCCTTTATAATGAAGGATACTTCTGATGTACTTGGCCGCAACATAAAAATGATTACTAACTCTTGCCCCACTGTTTTAAACGTGCAGTTGTCGAGCTGCTGCTCAACTAAACATTAGCAATTTTTTGCAAAAAATAATGAAAAGTGTTGTTCCTGATGACCGACAGGGTTGTGGATCCATTTTAATGCGGGTTCACATCCCTTCTGGCACTGAAACAGTTCTGTTATATGTGAAATTGAAATTGTAGCTTTCGATACTGTGGATCATCCTTTTCACACGTCTGGAACAGTGGGTTTGTATTAAGGCTAAAGTAAATATTTATTCATCTGTTGCTACCGATCCTGTAAATATATTCACCTCAACTGTTCCTAATCTGCAGATATTTATTCATAAGCTATAGTATTTATTAATACTACCTGGTCCTGTACATATATTCTTCATTCACCTTAACTGTACAAAATATCTCTGTTACTTTGCTCATTGCACTCCGATCACTTTAATCATTTAGTATTTATCTACGTTCTTTCTTCCTCTTGGACAAATAAGAAAGTAATTTCTCCTCAAACTTCTACGCTGATGATTCCCAGCTTTACTTCAACAATCTAGTGATTGTCTAAAGCCTCTCCTGAACTATTTATAAAGGACAAAGCCAGATGGCAAATTATTTTCTTCAGCTTAGCAGTAACAAATCTTTGGTCTTAGGTCCACAGAAACTCTAGAGCCTCTTACTCGGACATTTCCATTCACACATGCACCTCCTCTGGGAAAACTGCAGAGGATCTCCAGTTCAGTTCATGTCTGAAGGAACATCATGACTAGACTATTTTCATTCTTTACATTACAGCCTCCTCAGTTAAAAAAAACAAACATTTTATATCGCAAACCATATTCACTCAGCTCTTATATGTCTGTTAGATCTAAAGACACAAAACTCTCTTGTATGTCCTGCAGCTAAGACAAAATAAAAATCTTGCTGCTCCACTGCTGTTAGAAATTACATGTGGTCCATCTCCGTTTATAAATTTCACCTAAAGACATATTTTTATTCAACTGCCTTTTTGGCCCATTTGTCTTATTTTCTATTGTTATTTATGTAAATACGTATTTTTATCCCAGGTTGTTTATTGTTATTTTTACATTATATTTTAATACATTTTACACTTAAAATTCTACATGTTGGCTTAAAAGGGTAAAAAAAATAATAAAGAGAGAAGCTTGACTTTGCAATTATAATTATCTTTACACACATACAGCTGCAGAGTCTGTAAAACCGCAAAACATGAGTGTTTAAGTGACGTGAGCCTCTGAACAGTGTCAGTCTTCAAAGGCCGGATATTCACAAGTCTTCTTGTGTGAGCGTTCAGCATCTGATAAGAATCTGTCCTTCCTGCTGCCATCAGATTTGGCATCACTGCTCTTAGTAGACCACATGCACCAGAATGCTGACCAACAACTGCACCACTTCATAGAAACAGTCAATACTTCATTTGTTTGAATAATTTTAATATGCAATCCTGTCTATGTTGTATATATTATTACATTTCAAAATGTTATATTGCAAGTTTACTCAAATTATTTTTGTTTATGCTTCTGATCTTTACTCCACCCTTGGCTGCTGTAACTCAGCAAATTCCAACCACGGGACAACAAATGTTGATCTTATCTTACAAAAGGACCAAAGTTAAAACAGTCTCCATCTTCTGTTGCTAAAACCCATTTTGAAAAACAGCCTGTGACTTATTAATGACCATGAGTAATAATATTTTCTGCTGAAATATAGTCATAATTTTTCAAGAATCAAATTTTAATGCTATTCAATGGGTTTTTTGTAGATTCTTAAGAAACAATGAAATTGGTAATAACCAAGGTTTGGGATGCAAAGGCGAGCACAGGCTCTCGTTACTGTTTAGTCCCAAAACGCTTCTGGAATTTTTATTCTTTATTCTCACAGTATTACTTTTTTTCTCATTGAATTACAACTTTGTCCTGTAATAGTACGTCTTTCTTCTAAATTAAAACTTACTTTGGAAATATACTAGACTTTATTCTCATAATATTGTGACTTTTTCTTGTAATATTACGACATTATTCTCGAAATCGTACTGAGACACTAGTTAAATCAAACTAGGGTTGAGTTGCATTGTGTAGTTACCATGATGTTCCGTTGATGTTAAAACACCCTGATTTCCAAAAACTAGTTTATGATGCAGCTAAAGATCAAGATTCAAACCAGAGGTGTTGTGATAATCTAATCCAGGATTTGTCTGCTCTAAGACCATGAAGTGTTACAGTCACATGCTTGGGCAGAAAAAAAAGAAGACCATTACTTTAGAATGCAAAACTAGTAAACAGCTCGAAAACCCAGGTCAGTCAGTGACCTCGCTCTGTTAACAAAGCTGCAGCTTTCACAGGGCCTCTTCCTCCACACACGCACACACACGCGCACACACACGCTACCTTGTGACTCGCGCTTGTTTCTGCACATTTTGACACTGGAGAGAAAACAAGGTTGATTCTGTTCCTGGGCTGTGGACATGACATCTGTTGGTCTTCAGACAGGTCATGGGAAAGACGACTGTACATATCGCAGTAGCTCAGACATGGCGGGTGTGTTGTGGGAGGCGACCAACAGAGCCAGGGGGAACGGGCGTTGACAGACCATGTGCTGCTGGATGTCATGGGCATGCCGACGGCTCCAATCATCACAGGAGAAACCACCCAGTTCTCTGGACTTAAGACGTAATGTCAAAGACCTCTGGACATGTTGGTCCTTAATGTGATATTATGGTATAGATGGGTATATATGATTCTATTCTTGAATCTATTTTATACTGACACCTCAGAGGAAAGAGTAACTTGATGTAGGATATTAGAGGCTGTTGGTTTCTGACAATATTTACTCATCTCTCTTTAAATCAGACTGTTTTGAGATCCAAAGCTCATCAGCACCTCTGCCATAATGTTGAATATATCATTACAGTAAAGACAAAGCTTGTGTTTAAAGCTCGATTTGAATATCTGCCTCTTGTGTGCATCTTCTAAAAGTCTTCCCTGATTATAATGATAACAGTGATCAAAGATATGTTACATTTATTAATTATTTCCATGGTATTCTTGACATTGTATTTTTTGGAGCGTGGAAGGAGCTTTGTAAGAAGAACAAATATTAAATCTTATTTCAAAAATCTACGCAGGTTGTCCGTGTTATGTTGAGGTTGTACAATAAGTTCTATGTTTATAAATAAAATTTTTCAAGTACAATGAGGTACAGACTGAGCTCATTCCTCGAGTTTTAAAGATGTCGGGGACACTAACACAGCATGAAGGTGGAGTAATACGTGTGAAATGGTCTGTGAAGAGGCTAATCTGATGCATGTGTCACTACTGACGTAAAACAGTCTGCTGAAAAAAACCTGACCAACAGATCGCTCCAGTGTGCGTCAATGGACAAAATAATATAATTTAATCTGTTTAACCCTTCACTGTACTGCTCAAAGTTCAATCATGGGCATGAAGAAGAAAGGAGAAGTTGAGGAGGAGGGATACGAGAAGGGAAACATCTTCATCGTGGGTCGTCTTACCACTGGCTTCTGTCCTGCCGTTACTTTGGCTGTGATACCCAAGGCCTTAGAGACGTCCTCCAGAGCAACGTGGTCTCCAGGTGAATCCTGGATGAAGTGCAACAGGACCTTCTCTCCACCTTTTCAGAATAAAATGTATTTAGAAAGTATCTTAAAACATGCAGGTTGTTAATTTTAACCAGCCCAATAAAAGTTATTACGAATTTGAAATCTTGCAACTCAGTTCGACCCATAAAAGCAAAAAGAGTATTAAGGAACTACGATGTTTTCCAAAACATTCAGATTCGAGCCCAAATCTCCTTCAAGTGGGAAGGTGCTCATGAAGGTCTAATGTTTGGTGAGAACTAACGATGGGTCCTGAACCCAGTATACACCCAATACTGTAGAATTGATAAGGGCTGGCGTTATTTTCTTTTACTATCGATAATCTCTTGATTATTTAGTGAAACATGCTTAATAACAGACAATGGAAACTAGAAATCATACAAAACTCTGTGAGTGCAAGAGTTGAAGGCAACTCTATTTCACACGTTGCAGCAACTGACCACACAACCACACACCTACCCACACCCATACCCACACAAAGATAGAAATCATCTGCCTTGCTCACAGTTACGAGATTGCTGATTGTAATGGATGTGTTCATAAATTAAAAAGAAGTCTTAATAAAACTTGTCTCTGGTGAGAACTCTGTAAGTACTGACTTTAACTGGAGCCAAGATTTTTAAACTGAGGAGTCAGACAGGACAGGATCTTCTCGCCTCTCGCAGACTCCTTCCCACTGGGTCACTCTGCCATACCACAACACAACAGTCCCAGCACACAGTGTCCCTGTGGGACAGGGTTGCTTTTTCTTTCTTGCTGGATTCTGACCATGTCTGTTTATCACTACCTCACTTTAAAAGAAACTGAAAGGAGAAGTTGCATCCGTTTTCCTCGAAGCTATTTTGATGTGGTGGTACTTTCATTATCTCTTCCTAAAATTCTCCAGTGTTTCTTTACTATGTTATATAGTTATGAAGTGAATACATTTGTAACCCTACCCAGCGTTATCATTTGCAAATTGTAACAGTTTAATTTATTAAAATAACTCATCTCTTTTGTGTACGACAAAATGAAGTAGCAGCAAAACTGTGAAGCATCAATGTATTATGAACCTCTAACCAGAGCATCACTGATGTGATGCTGCACTGCCCTCTAGAGGAGAGACTACAATCTGCAGTTTGCATTTATTTCTTGCTTTCATCAAACAACTGATCAAACTTCACACGTTCCCTGGGTTCATCAAGTCTTCTCATTAAAATCCTGCTCCGATACAAACCCACATTACTACCCACCAACCCTAATGTGTATTATTTGTGTGATTGTACCTTTGGCCACGATGAGCAGGCCTCCGCTCTGCAGCAGATCTCCTGAGAAGTTTCCCTGGATTCCTTCTGCACTGGCCTGAGAACAGCAGAGACAATGTGCAATCAGAAACAGTCAGAGAGGAACTTGATCCTCGCTCCATGTGACCAAAGGTCAACTGTACGGACATTGTCGATATATCTACCTTTGCAGCTGCATCTCGTACTTTCTTCCCCAAAGCAGCAGGAACAACACTTAAGCCTGTGTACCTGAGAGAGAAAAAAAGATGAGTGATCATCAAAAAGCAGCTAAAAACTGAAAAGCTGTAATTTAATTATCAATCAATATTTCCTTGGTCTATAAAAATATAAAACTTTTCAATTCACCTTCGTATAAGGAAAAACAGGAAAAGCATTTGAATCTCATATCTGCAAAGCTGAAGGCAGCAAATACTTAATACTTTAAAAAAAACAGTGATTATCACAATTGATTTGATTGATAACAGTTTGATTTATTTTCTGTTTCTTGACTGACCAATAAAACTTGTTGCGGCCTTGAATACTGGAATTAAGGTTAAAACGAATCATCTTTGACAAATGGAAGTGATAAACTTCATCAGCACATACAAGAAATATGGATGGACTCTTCTCACCTTTTAAAGCCCAAATCCTTGTAGGTTTTCTTTTGTTCATCCACGTAAATGGCTAAAAAGAGAATTATATTCAACAAGAGTGATTGACACAATAACCACGTCAAATCTCTGGTGACACATCTCATCTTACTATTGTATTTGTTTAGTATAAAGGGGACAAAGTCCTGGTTGTTACAGTCCAGTGAAGGCTATTAAAAATGGTATCAGTTCATTTTTAATTTTACTTTGGTGTATCTGAAAAGAAAAGATAATATTGAGCCTTCATTGGAACAAAGCTCCCCATGAAGACGTGTGTCAAAGTGTGTTTGTCTGAATTTAGGAAGTACTACTGATTCCTTATTTATCAAACTATCACCTTCCGGTCCGAGGTGATAGTTTTAATAAATAAGAAAACTAGCACCATAGACTAGCATTTTGTTGTTGATCCAGACAAATGGTGTGAATGGGAATAAATCTTGATGAAACACTCAGACATGTTTCAGGGACTCATATCTATGAGTTTTGTGAAATTTGGTGCAGATCCAAATAAAAATCTCAATCTAGTGAATTTAAAGGTGGTTTCATAAGGGGACTGTTGGGCCTTGGCGGAGGTTTGCACAATCAACTGAGTGTTATTATAAGAAGTGTAAGTACTGCTGCTTACATCCTTTAAAAAATCCTTTTTCCTTGAACTCCTTCAGCCCAAACTCCTCAGGTCCGACTCCGACCAGCGCAGCACCGCTGGCTCTCAGGTCCGGCTCCAGTTTGCTGATCTCTGATGCCATCCAGCGACACACCTGACAACCAAACCTGCGCAGGAAAAACAAGACCACGGGCTGGTCCTGCCACAGAGACTGGAGCTCCACACTCTGAAACATAGAGAGGATGCAAATAATCAATTCATCGAATAATCAATGAATATGTTGATTATTCTCTAAATCAAACGCAGCACATTTACAAATTTAAACAAAGTTAGTTTTACCTTGCAACAGATTCATGCAATTTCAAAATGAATTCCAAAACCCACAGGCTGCCAGATCAATGAGGTGGGAATGGGTCTGCAGTGATCCTACTTCAACTGCTTTTAGACAATGTGCTACAACTATAATAATCTATATCCTTACTGTGCTTGCCCAATGAATAAGTATTATATCAATATACATAGACTGTACTTTAGTTATAAATTCAGCTGTAAGAGTTTTAACCAGACCAAAAGAAAAACTGCCCACGTTACCCCCTGTTGTTAAACAGGTTTTACTAATTATTCTAAAATCTCTTATTGGAGCCGCTCCCAAACACCAGACATTATAGAACAACATAACCCTGTGAGATCACTGGGGAGTGGTCTGCGTGTTGTTCAACCTTTGTAACCTCTTTTATTCTGCTCTTTTATAATCTCTTTTATTTTGTTATGTATCTATTTTCATATTATGTATCTCCGTGTTGAAAAGGTGCTTTATAAATGACACTGCATCACAAAGCATAGATTTAAACACTGAATATTCAGGGAATGCGAGTCATGGTGTGCTGATCGCATGTTTTCCCACCAGATCCTCATTATGTCACAGAGTTACGACAGCACTGAGGGGTTAATGGCAGGTTTATCACAGCAGGAAACAATCCTCAGAGGGAAGCAGAGTTCACAGCCTCCCCGTGAGACTGAGCATTTCACACATGTAAACACTGATCATGTTAAACTCTCACCTCCCCTGTGTCGCAGCTCTTCAGCAGGTTCTTTCCAACCCGAGCCAGGTCCACCTTCGCCATGTTCTGTGAAGAGGAGCGTGTAGGAGGATGAAGGTTCAGTGTTATGATCGTACATGTGTCTGTGAAACGCCCATTGCGAAACTGTTGCAAAACTGCATCCGTACACGCCCACTTAACTCCGCCGACCAATCAGATTCCCCAAGTGCTGGAAAACCAGCCAATCACAGCGCACAATGCGGAAAGCGGAAGCGGGGCCCTTTTAAACACGTGCATTTTACCACTACGATCAAACCCTTTTGATTTTTAACAGTAGTCATTTGTTTTAAACGCACTTTTTTCTTACCACGCGTGAAACATCGGCTCTCGAGGTTAGATTGAATCCATTCAGGAGGTCTAAATGACTGGATTTCATAATGCAGGTTGCATAAGGTGTCACACAGGTTAATGGATTTATTACGTGTTTCCTTCTTCCTGTGTGATATGAGTCACCTGTCTGTCTTCATGTAAACCCTGACAAAGACAGTCTGCTTTAAATTCACCAACCTGCAGGAGAGAAGTCATTGACTGAACCACTGTATTTAAATACATGTGTGGTTTTATGTCACTTGAATAGTTTCATTAAGGGGTTGAGCAACATCAGCTGATCAATGATAACAATAGGGTCACATTATTATTTCCTTCAAGTTTGCAGGCAGATGATGATATTTACGATTCAGACTTGGGGTCCAGATAAAATATAACACAATAAAATAACTAAAACGAACACAAAAGAACAAATAAATCTATGAATATATATATTTATTCTAACATATGGACAACTATGCCTACATAGCTGGGATTGGTAGCATGTAGTATTTGATCAAACCAAGATGGCTGGTTCTTAGGACAGTTTGATAAGTGTTGACTCCTGTAGCCACTTGGATGAAACAAAAATGAAAAAAACTTTTTACCAGTCTGAGGTCAAAAATTAAAACTCATTATGTTGTAGCTCCCTCCTCACTGTGCTCCCACAATTCATAAGCGATATAACAATATATTTGTAACTTTTGTTACATTGCTATTGATGAAAAGTATATTGCAATAATTATTGTTATTACTTTATCACCCAGCCCAATAGTTTAGTTTATTGCCACTTTATCCTTCACTTCATTTCAGAGGGAACTAAATACACATTTTATCTGAGACCTATAGACAGTTTCTCTGATGATCAAGATTTTAACTTACAAATAACATTTGCCAAAAGAACAAAAGGAGAGAAAATGCATCATTCTCTTGGTTCAGTGACTTAATGAATTTATTACATTGTACCACAGAGACCTCTCTTGTAACCAGCTTGACAACCTGCAGGCCAGATTATCTCACTACAAGTGAATTAGACAGGATGAGCCTGCTATCAGAGGAGGCCCCAATATCACTTCAGTACGTCTACAGGGACCAAGTCTAGCCAAATATAGTTAATGATGCTCGAATAATTATCTAGGAAGTTTCATGTAATTAGGCTGTTGGAAAAAATACTTCAGCTTCTTATTTATACAATGAATATTTACATCAATTTGCTCACATCTTTATTATGACATACTTTATTATACCTCTGACTAAAGAGATACATTCAGTGTATTGTTTGATATATTTGAATGAAACCCATATGCAGTACATAGTTGTACTGGACAAAAAAAAAACTGGACAAAATTGCAATCCATCACTAACTTTGCATGTGCTATTATCTTTAGGCTGAATTACAAATGTATTGTTACTATTATATCTCTGCAGGGTTTTTATCTTCCTGTTTAATCTTACTCTTGAGTTTACATTGTCTTTTTTAGATGTTACTTACACATCTTGTGATCTTATAAGTTATATCTTATTACTTAAAATGGATAACATTTGCATATTTTATTTGTAAAATGGTGGCTCATTATTGTTTTTGAAATGGATTCATTATTCGATGAACACAGTGTAATGAATAATGGAAGACAGTGGTTAGTGGCCAGTAACATGGATAATATATGAAAAATAGGTTGTATGGTCTAGCGACTGATGTGTGTAATTATTGTGCACATGACAAATAAAATCTTTGAGTCTTGAAGTATTATATTGTACGTGTTTTGTAAGGTTTTATTTAAAAAAAATCATAAAAAAGAGGTTAATTGAGTAAAGAAATACCATATTCCCTCTCAAATATAGCAGCGATAGAGTAGAATTATAAAGTTGCATGTTGAAGTATTGTGTAAGTCTGACCTGACACACACTGTAGAACCTACAGTATATACAGTACCAGAGGATGTGTGGATGGACAGATGTGCAGATAAACAGATGTGTAGACAAGTGCAGATGGACAGATGTGTTGAAGGATGCGCAGATATGTGTAGATAAATGTATAGATAGACATATAGATGTCTAGATTGGCAGATGTATAGATGGATAGACTTGTAGATGGACAGATGATATGTAGGAGACAGATGTGCAGACGGACATGTGTCGATGGATGAACAGATAGACATGTGTTCAACGTGTAGATAGACAGATGTGCAGACGGACATGGGTAGATAAAGGTGTAGATAAAGGTGTGTGGATAGACAGATGTGTTTACAGTCACTGTCCGCGCGGTGCTGATGTTGCAGGGAGGGGCGTGACGTCACGGGACAGGACGGGAGGAAGAGGCGAAGGGGGAGAGAAGAGGGGGAAGGAGAAGGGACGGAGGAGGAATCGGGGGGATGACTGCATCAAAGGCAAAAAAAACAAACAAACAAAAAACAAAAAAGACCCCAACCATGAGTCGTGTAAATCACAGTGGTCACCGCTCTGTTCACAGTTTTCCGCAATAAATGACGAGCCGCCCCGGTAAGGTAATTATCATCTTTCATTTTGCACGCCTTCTTCTTCTTCTTCCTCCTCCAACACAGCTGGGAGGATCGTGTGCTCGTCACGGTCAACGACACCATGTGAAGTCGAGGAAAATGTCGAGCATCGTTTGATAAATTCACTTTGAAAAGAAGCGATCAATCGGTTCCGCGTCTACAAAAAGGATTTGTAATGGTCAGATGTTTCATTTGCGTTCGAGCGCCTGTGTCACGTTGTCCTTGTAAATGTCTCGTGAGCCTTCACCACCAACGCCAGCGGCCCCATTGTGTCCGACCCGAGCTCCCTCCATGAAAAATTAAAATGGAAACAGGCTCCATAAGCGCGGTGCCGCATACTACACTGCTGTGGTCCGCCACGGAGAGCACATGGGCTCTGCGCACACTAACATGCGCATTGGTTGCAGTGCGTCGTGCCCATCGTAGCTGTGTGCTGATGACTGCAGTGTCGTGTTGGTGGAGCTACACAACCATCAGTAGTGCTCAGTTACACACGTGCTCCCGTGATGCTCCTGTGTGACCTCTAATATGAACAATACAAGTTTCCATCTCTGAGTCTCAGCTTGACACCGCGCTTTTTTCTCTTTCTGCAGTGTAAGCTGGCTTGAGAGAGAGAGAGATGTCATCTCCGGGCATGGGTACCCCCACCGACCCCCTCTTGGCCAGCCCAGGGGGGAGGTTATCCACAGCTCAGGAAGGTATCTGGAGGAGCTCGCTCCCCAAAACTGCCAGCTTCCCAACGTCCACCACCCGGCACCTCAGTCACCGCGCCAACAACTTCCAGAGACAGCCGAAGCGGCGGAAGTTGATAAGACCCTCTCCGCCTCCACCGCCCAACACACCCTGTCCTCTGGACCAGCTGGACCTCAGTGAACTTCCTCCGAGACGCACCTTCCATGAGCTGCTCTTCAATGGCTGCATCCTGTTTGGGATTGAGTTCAGCTATGCCATGGAAACAGCTTATGTGACGCCTGTGCTTCTACAGATGGGCCTCCCCGATCAGTTCTACAGCTTGGTTTGGTTTATTAGCCCAATACTTGGTGAGTGAACAACTAATGGAAATTGACATGTGATACATATATGAAATCAATAATCCTGTCGCTCTCACTCAGTGACATCTAACTCTGTCCTCTGTCTGTTGGGTGAAAGGATTCCTCGTTCAGCCTCTCATTGGTGCCTGGAGTGATCGATGTACATCACGGTTTGGGCGAAGGAGACCATTCATATTTGCCTTGGCTATAGGTAAGAAATGTTAAAAGAGGACTCAATTAAGTTGGGATACCTATAAGAGACACATTTTAAAAAGAACATTTAAAACAGAACAGCAGGGGCTTATAATTGTGACTTTTAGTCCATATAATGAAGAAACTAGAATGGCACTCAATAGAGCGCAAATCATTTTCAAGGCCCAGGTCAATTTTTAATTTTACACACTCATAGATATCAGATCCCTAAATATGACTGATTTTCCTATCAAGATCTGTGAACTATTCCCTGAGAAAGCAGAAATATTTTTTGAAAATTGTCACAATTTTAAAGAAAGTGAAAAAAGTAATTCCTGGATCTGCTCTCTGATCCAGATCTGCACCAAAATGTAATTGCTTCTTGATCCAGATCCGTTTGCAGACCTACACACATACAAATCAACCAACAAATGAAAAGACCAGGGTGAAAACTTGCAAGATGTCCATATAAATCTAACATTGACTTTTTCTACCTCATAGGGGCTTTGCTTGGTCTAACCCTGGTGCTGAATGGGCGAGACATTGGAGGAGCTCTGGATGACACAGCTTTAAATCACAAGTGGGGGATTGTCCTGACGATATGTGGTGTGGTCCTGATGGACTTTAGTGCTGATTCAGCCGACAATCCAAGCCATGCCTACATGATGGATGTATGCAGTCCAGAAGACCAGGATCGGGGGCTGAACATCCATGCACTGCTGGCAGGTAAGAAAACACTTTACTAGGAAAAAAACACACAATGACTTTATTATTACACTGTTTAATTTATATGACAGAAGATAGAAACTCTAGCTATTATTCTTATGACAATCAGGGGAAAGACAAGCAGAAATAGACCTTTAAGAAATGATCATCTTCTGGAAAACGTTCTATAAAAGGTTGACTTTTTATCACACTCTTATTTGTATTTTCTTAAAAGGACTAGGAGGTGGGTTTGGTTACATCGTGGGTGGCATCAACTGGGACCAGACACAGTTTGGAAGGTCGATGGGAGGTCAACTGCGGGTTATATACCTGTTTACGAGCATCACTTTGGTGATCGCCACAGCCATGACTCTGATGAGTATCCCTGAGCGGCCGCTACCAAAGAGCCAGCCAAACAAAAACTCCAAAAACCTTCTGAAGAGCCCCAGTCTTCCCCTCCCTCCCTCCCCTCCTGTCCGCCCAGGATCCAATTTGGGACTGGACGAAGAAGATGAGGATGGTCTTTACAGCTACAATTTCACAAAATCTCACCCTCCCGACCCTCTGGCCCATTCTTGCAGTGCCAATGCATGCCTCTGTGCCGGCCTCAGTAGCCCCATATCACCACTGAGCCCCCTCACTCCAAAATACGGCAGCTTCATCAGTAGGGACAGCTCATTAACTGGCATCAATGAGTTTGCCTCCTCATTAGGAACCTCCTACATAGACAGTGTGCTCATAGACTGCTACACGGGTCAGCAGACACCACAAGCCCTTGCCCCGAATTCCACCACTGCACCGTTGCCTCCAGGGGACTCCCCTCTTCCAGAGGGGTCCACACAGGGGACAGGGAGTCATCCTGTAGGACAGACCCAGGCTGAGGTGGCGTCTCATCCCGGCGCAGAAGCTCAGGATGCCGAAGCGCCCCAGCCCGAGGGAGATGCACAATCTCATGGAGCATCTCAGGTCACAGCTGGAGGTCAGCCAGGTGTGGGGTCACACCGGGGCTCCGCCGCTGGTATCCTGAAGAGACCCCAGAGTCTTGCACTAATAGAGGAGCCCATGGCAACGCAGGTTGTCGGGCTGGAGAACGGACGCAGAAGAACAGTGACCTTCAGCCAGCAGGTCAGACACATATTTTGAAAAGGACAAAAGCTGCTCACTCAGTAGCCACCATGGCATTTTCTGAACACAATGCCTGTCTCTTTTTCTCCGACTTAGGTTGCAAACATTTTGCTGAATGGAGTGCGGTATGAGAGTGATCTGAGTGAGAATGTGGAGACAGGAGAATCCCAAATGTCAATGAAGCTGCTGTGTATAGCCATCTACAGGATGCCTCCTTCCCTGCGGAGTTTATGCACTAATCATTTTTTGGGTGAGAGAAATCCTTTCCATTTAAAATTCAGTTCCGTCAAGAACCCTGCAACATCTTAGAGACGGCCTGTTTTGTATTTCAAATGAACTGAGTTAATAGGCTTTGCATCTCTCTGTGCTGCAGGCTGGCTGTCCTTTGAAGGCATGCTGCTCTTCTACACCGACTTCATGGGGGAGGTTGTGTTCAAAGGAGACCCCAAAGCACCCCACGACTCTGAGGCTTACCAACGCTACAATGCTGGCGTTAGCATGGGCTGCTGGGGCATGTGCATCTATGCATTCAGTGCTGCTTTCTACTCAGGTAAACTACACTTTTAATCACACAATGATTTGGATGTTAGCATAGCTCTGCCCTGGGAAGATTAATTACTTACCCTTGTTGAATTTTCTTTGCAGTAATTTGTCATCCTAACAGCTTAACATTTCTCCTCTGTGTGTCTCTCTGTTTCCTCTTCGAACTTTCAGCCATATTGGAGAAACTAGAGGAGCGTTTCTCTCTTCGCACTCTGTATTTTTTTGCCTACTTGGCGTTTGGTTTGGGCACAGGCCTTGCCACACTGTCCACCAACCTCTACGTGGTACTGTCCCTCTGTGTCACCTACGGGGTGCTCTTCTCCTCACTATGCACGCTGCCTTACTCTCTGCTGTGTGAATACTACCAGAGCCCTCAGGTTAGTCTCTAGGTACAGCATGTGCAGGACTAACATTCACTAATTTGTAGTTATATAGTATTTTTACAACTTAAAATAATCCCTTAAATGCTTATACTCTGTTGCCAAGAGATAAATAAGAAGATTGATACCACTATTCAACCAGTCTGTTAAATATGAAATATGATAAATCTACAACCAGCTAATTTTATTTGTCACACCACCCAAACAGCTGTCTAGCTGAGCTTTGCACAAAGACTGGTAACAGTTAGCTGGTAATGTCATCCACCTACCACCTCTGACACTCAATAATTACCTTAATAAACAATAAATACTCAAAAGCCGTTTTCAGACATGACCTGCAGGTAAAAAATCTGGAGAATTGGCTACAGAGTTTGTCTGCAGTTTGCCTTTCACTCATGCACAACACAGCGGGAGGTTCTCTGCACACACAACAGCAACAAATCCTCTGCATTATTTAGGCTCTGGTGCAGCCGGGTGCAGCAGGCAGAGGGCGGAAGCGACATATTAACTCCACTGTGTAGATCACATGATTTTCTCTACATCACACTGACACCAATGTCGGCTCTTATAACCATAAACTCTCTTTACATAATATTGTGTCATATGCCACATGTGTATGGCTCTGCAGTTTCTCCCGAAGATATTTGTTTTCTTTTAGTTTTTTTCATTTTTGCGCCTGTCGCTTGTTGGAAACGCCATCAACCCCCCCACTCAGTCGTGGTGAACCCAGCTAGGATCCCCTGCTGTGCTATCACATCGATTTCTCCTGAATTTTTACGGACGTAAAGGTATACCTCCACTAAGGCTAATGCCCCATCTTACCATGAAACTGAAAAATGTCTGAGATCCACTTTAAATTTGAATGGATTCTTCTTTGGGTTATGACTCACCTCTTCAAAAATGTCATGTAAATCAGTTCAGCAGATTTTGCGCAATCATGAAAACTAACAAACAAACTAATAATACTATAACGCAGATGGTTGAGGTAACTAAACAAGGGTGGAGCAGGTGATCACAAAGAGCGGGAAAGTAGACAAAGACAGGAAGTGAAGGTATCAGAAATTAGATCCAATGGTGAGTACAAAATAAAGCAGGAAGTAATGAATTAAAATTGCCCCCAACAGACGCAAATCCAAAAACCAAATGCAAGGAAGACAATCGGCGAAATTCCTTAACAGTGAATACAACAAAAGATCCACAAAGAAATCAAACCTTTCACAAAAAGTTCCAGACACATCACAGTAGGATTGTTCGGCCTTAGCAGAGGAATATGCTCTACTTAGTGACATTGTTGTTTACATTCTAAATCTTATTCGTTTAATCCCAAAGTGTAAAAACAACACATTAAGGTTTTATGTTTCTTTAGCTGCAGAGTTTCTACTAAGCAGATTTTGTTCCCTTAAGCTCACAGAGCCAGGTGAACTGCTCCCCTGTTCGCAGTGTGAGCCAATCGGCTGCTGGTGGCTGCTTCATAATAATTGCAGTGATATAAAAGTGGTATCAATCCTCCTATGTAGCTCTCAGAAAAGACAATTAGGCATCATTTCCAAAAATAATTAAATAATACTTTAACAGTGTGGTTAGATTTAGCACCTTAACTCAACTTTTTCATGTGTGTCCCACAGTTTTGTGGCTCATCAGAGGAAGGGACCAGACGAGGGATGGGGGTGGACATCTCTCTGCTCAGCTGCCAGTATTTCCTGGCTCAGATCCTGGTCTCTGTGGCGATGGGACCTCTGACCTCATTGGTGGGTGGGGCCCAGGGAGTGATGTACTTTTCAAGCCTGATGTCATTCGTGGGCTGCCTGTACTCCTCCCTCTTCGTGGTGTACCAGCTGCCCCCCCCTGAGGGTGAGCCCACCGATAGCGAGACCCAGCCACTATTGGTGCACATTTAGAGAAGCCTCTTAATTTACCTCACAGTCACGCACACACACATACGCACACACTCAATGGCGCACGCTGTCGCTCTGTGTCTGAATGTTGACCTTCCCAACACCGATAGGACAGACGCACTGTACATCCTGCCGCACACTGTACAGCACAACTCCATATATTGTCTCACGCTAATCAGCACTACTTTTCTCAGAGCTAGACAGACAGACAGACATTGGCCACTGCTCTAATCTGTGTATACACAACCAGTGTGTTCATACAGTGTGTGTGCCCATGCATTTTTTCCTAACATTTCCTAAGGAGTGTGTGACCTTTTTGAGTTGAAGTGTGAGACTGGATTTATTTGTGCGTTTGAGAGAGAGTGTGCGAGTGACCTCTTTGAGTATAGATCCTGTGTCTGATTCTTTGCTGTAAAATCTTTCGTCCTCTTTTCTTGCTTGTTGATATTTAGTATAGAAATGTCAATCACCACACACACACACACACACACACACACAGGCTAACCACAGCTTTCCCCTGTTTTCTTCCTTTTATCAGTTGCCTAACGTCTGCATGAGCTGCGCTGTAACCTCTCAAAGCCTTGTGTTTTGTTTCTGTCACACAGCCAAAGGGAATGTCTACCTGCCTGTTTCTCTGAGTTAGCAATATTAGCATCACACCCGAAGCAGGATTTTCTGACTCAATGAATGTGCTGCCAGTGACCGCCCACCGTCAACAGTTCATTTGAGAGATCTTTCACATTAATTTAGCATTGACAGCATACACATACACATACACAATAATTATGTAAAGGTGAAGAGTGCTTTATGGCAGTTGCAGTCTTGAAGGGCTTCCCATTTTTTATTTTAACAGGCAAAATAAACCAACAACACTTTTCCACACGATCATTCAGTCATTCAGTGACGTATCCCCAAATTTTACAGTTTAGTGCTGGGTGATGCTTAATCAAGCCCCGAGTATGAATACAATGACAATTAATTCCTTAATCAGCACAGAGCCATGACTAATAGGATGACACACGCTAACGCGCTTGTACACACAACTTTTAAAAAAACACAGAGAAATGTGTACTGGTGGCAAATTCTGTCTGGGCCCTCACTAAGCCAAGGACAGCTCAGTGAGCTGTCACCCTGCCCCTGGCCATACCTTTGTAATAATGACAGTGATTCTTGTCATTATCAGGAAGAGGAGAAGTTGAAACTGGGGTGTGAATCAACATTCAGTCGGAAACCGAACAAAACGGAAGAACAGAGAAGACTCATGTGAACTATGGGTAACCCTGAAGGTGGACAACAATGAAAGAAAAGACTGGGGGAGGGGTTCATAGAGCCAGCAGCAAGTACTTATTGTCATCATTAGGACGCATGCTTTAAGGTAGTAGGCTTCTGCTCCACCGCCCTCTGCCCATCAACTCAGTGTAGTGATCACTTAACATTTGTTGGCAGCGTTTCTCACAGGAAACTTAATTTCTTTTCCATCCTAAAGAAGCCATCTTCATTAGCAGAATAGTCCATATGATTTATTTTCTACATGTTTTGTGCCATGGCTAACTGCTTCGTCTGTTGGGCCCTCAGCAGACACCAGGTCTGAATTCAGGGCTGTAACATAAACTTTTGTAACATGTTTTAAGCCTTTCATTATGAGGTTGACCGGCTCTCAACATTATGGTGCCAGCCATAATTGCTGCCTCTGCAGAATGTCAATAATTGGCTTTTACAGCCTAAAGACTGACTGGATGCACCATGCTAATGTTTCTGAGGAAACTGCAATTGTATGGATCATGCTGTTGCAGCTTGCTATATAAGAAAAACACATTTTGAGTTGTTGTGTTCTATGGTACCACCTATTGCTCAATACTAGCAGTGTTACTGTAAAAGCTACTTTTATTCAGGGTTCTGTTCAAACTAAAAAGGATTTTTGCCATTTTAGACTCCTGTGTCAATTATTGTTTCTACCACTGATTGTCTTTGTCACCCAAACCAGTTGACTTGAGTTATGTTCTGCAATCTTTGCTTACACCACATGGGGGAGCTAAAAGACAAGACCACAAGTCATTGAGTCTCCCTTTTCCATTACCAAGTGAGTGCCACTATTCCTGCATCTTCCTGTGTCTGAGCCAGCCATTTTCCATGTAAAGAAAAAATAGGTCAGGTGACATCATCAATTAAAATATGGGTTTGAAAAGGCACTGCTGTGGTGCAAACAGTGAATATACACACAACATAGATTTACTTAAGTAAAAAGACAATTTATTTGTTAATCAGAATATACAAAGCAGTGGCTGAAGTAACCAAATGTCTTTCTGGTTCTGAAAAAGGCAGTCCGGGACACAAAAACTGGGCTACTCAGCCATAACATAACTCGTTGAAGATGTAAGAAAAACAAGGTATAAATGGTACAAACTTGCGTGGAATGCATACAGAACAAATGACCAAAGCTTGAAGATTTAAGAGGGGTTAATTAACATTGCAAAAATCCTGCCTCCATAAAATAAGCAGCCTTATCATGGAGGCGCAAGACACAGCCCCTTTATTCATTTGCACCATCTGTTATGTTGACAGGGCAGCCGAGCTAAGGATTAATTAGCAGCTCAACACAAAAATAGTATGCCTCAACTAATAATGCTAACAACTGTCCATTAGCCCCTGCTTAAAATTCATCTTTGGTCCTTTATGTGAATCTGAGAGGTCAACATGAGCCTTGGAGGTGAGCAGCTGCCTTAATGTATGAATCGTCTGGTCAGCACTGACAGAGATTGTGCTTCTCACATACTGATATAAAACCTCAAAAAATAATAAAAAAAACTGATCTCATGGTGTGGCCCAATTTTACAAGTAGAAAAAAAGCTCATTTTAAAGACCAATAAATAACATTTCATAAAAAAGGATGCAGGGCCACTATGTTTCAGGACTCCAGTGCAATGTGATATCATGGGAGCAAACAAAAAGAAATCTCTCTCAAAGATACAGAGAAGCACAAGCTCTACAACACAGTGTTGACCAGGCCGGTACAACAGTGCCGCAAACGCATCGAGTGGAGATTTAAGCCTTCACTTCGGCCTCTTTAGAATCTCCATTTTCCTCCGTCTTCTGTTTTTTAGTCTCCGTCTTTTCCTACGTGAAGAAGATATTTCATGTATTAGCAAAGATTCAAAGTTTTTTGCAGATTAGGCAACACATGAACAAGTGATTAAACTGTGTACCCACCTCCTCCTCATCAGCTGCACGCTTCACAGGCTGTGCATCAGTCTCCTCAGCAGGGGGCGCCTCCTCTGCTTTATCTGCAAGGTTAGAAAACAAATCATTTACTTTCAGTGTAATCAACTCAAATAAATGATTCACTCATAGTAAATCAAAGCATAATTGAATTTAAGTTAAGGCCACAAGAGGGAACAAAATGTATGGCAAATCTAAAACTTTGTGAACATGGTTACTAAAGTCTTGAAGAAAATTCAAACACACCATCTCCATTCTTGTGTTCGTCCTCTTTGGGTTCTTCCACTTTGTCGCTGTGATTGGCTCCGTTCTAGAGGAGAAAGTGAAATGTGAGTACATTCCTTTTTATGGAGTCTGAAGTGTAGAAAAAATTTCATACACAGAGAAAGAAAAAAAAAAAACCCCAACATGGGAGCCCAGTTGAAACAACCCTCCCACAATCACAAATCCACTGAATCCTCCAGGGACACTTTAAGAATAAGCAGTTGGATGACGGAGTTGAATGAGAACTCCCCAGAGGATTTAAGCCACCAAGCTCTGGGAAAAAAAATCCCTCAGAAACCCAATGGGGTCGTCTTGCTAACTAACATCTGTGCCATTTCACAACCCAAACAAAGCGCAGTGTGTGGAGCAGCTGAGCGGGGGGGGGGGGGGCGGCCGCAGCGACACCTGCACGATGACGGCTGCGGAGACAAAAGGCCATGAGGCTGGGAAGTGCCCCGGCTCCAACTCACTGTGCCATTGGCAGGTGCGTCCCCGTTGTCCGTCTTCTTCTCCTCCGTCTTCTCCTCCTCCTCCTCCTTCTTCTTCTTCTCCTCCACTTCGACTTCTTTCTTCTCCTTCAGCTCCTACAAAATAAAAGCACGGCCCCTCCAATCAATGAAACGTTCGGGCGTGAGGTGTTTAAATCTGAAAGTGTTTGAATCAAAAACCGCTCAGTTGCCTATAAACGGGATCGATTGTGATTAAAGTGAAGGTTTGGAAGTAGTGATGTTCACGGTTTGATCGGGAAGTAACGTAAACCCTCTGCGTTACTGTGTCTTCCCGCCCACAGCAGCAGCTTCACCTCCTGCACCGTTTCCAGCGCTTTGTCTGCTCATCAAGGGGTTTTAAAAGCTCGACACATTAAGATCTCCTACATTTCACTCGGACGACGCAGTATTTCACCGGCTGTCACTGCTGACACATAATGGCGACGTGTGGCCGTCGACCCGAGCCATTAGAATTCAATTTGATTGAGGTGAAACCCAGTTCACCTCAATTACTCTTTGAACTGACGTCAAGTGACGTCTTATCGGAAACCCGTCGAATTAAGAGGCTGAAGTTGACGCGGAGCTAGCTTAACCGTTAGCATGAGGAAAAAAAAACCACAGCAACTTGGAAAAAGTTCCAGAAATCTTTTTACCGCGGCGCTTTTCCACAGAAGAAGGAGAGGAGAGTGAATGAAACGCACCTTGGCTGTAACCTCTGCGGGGGCGGTCTTCTCAACAGCGGTGTCGGCCATTGTTTAATCTGAACGTGGGTGATTATATTCCTGTTATTGAGAAGCGGTGTTTTCTCTTCTCGGCTCGTCGCCTTCGTGTCTGCTCTGAAGACGCTGACGGGGGAATGATGTCCGCTCCACTCCGCTTTTTCTCCAGACCTCGTTTCAAAGTCCACTCTCGTTGGATGCGGCGGCTCCAGCCCGCACGCTATTGGACGACGCCGGCAACGGGAGCGTCCCATTGGGCAGATACCCCGCCACTCTCGCTGGCACGTCCCGCCCTCCTGCCCCTCTCGTCGTGGATTGGTCGAGTGTTTTAAAACGCCGCACTCCTTCTTCCTCCCTCCATCATCCATCACTTTGATTTTTCACCTGCATCTCGAACAATGAACGAAACAAGTGGCCTCTTGTTCGAACCATTCGATCACTCTGACGCGGCGAGTCGTTTTAGTGTTTGTAAAACTTTATCACCGTCGACCTGCAGGTTGCATCTTTTGTCTTTTCGGCTTTTCTTTGCACAGATGAGGTTTCAAATTACAAAAAAAAAAAAAAAAAAACCCGATGTGAAAACCGTGCGGCCACTCCTCCTTTCTAAATTTAACTCTCTTGTAACGAAGTCTTCTTGTACTTACACTTTCACTTTTGCACCAATAGTTTTGAACAATTATCCACATTACACGAAGGAATAAACGAGCACACAGACCGAGACTGAGAGCTACACGTGCATTATACAATACAAACATTATCTTATTTTATTGTGACTGTTTTACTATGACTCAATTAAATCTGACTATTGATTGTTTGAATTCATGAATGGATAAATGTAATATATCCTTTAGATGATTACATTTTCCACTGAAGTGATTGAGCTCAATCGAGTAGGGAACGCTAGTTATTACTCCTTCTTATTATGTTTGATAAGATAAGATAAGGTAAGATAATCCTTTGTTAGTCCCACAATGGGGAAATTTGCTGTACTACAGCAGCAAGAGTCAAAATAGGCATCAGTAAGTAGAAGGTAACGTGCAATACTTAAATGTAAGTAAAAAAAAATATATTTATAATATAGTAAAATATGAATGGAATAAAACTAATATATACTGTGTAAAAATGGGAATAATATGTGCAGTGTGAGAATATGTACAGTGATATTGCACAGACAGATGAATATAGCACAGTGAATATGACACAGTTAAGAGAGTTTAAGTGTAGTCCATAATGGTGCATGTAGTTCTTGTGGAAGCTTAGATGGTTGTAAGACAGGAAGGAACGACCTGCGATACCTCTCCTTCAGACACTTAGAAGGACAAGGGGGAAGAAATCACATGTCTGCCATCAAACAGATAAGCCCGGCAATAAATGTGTTGCTTTGTGATATCAGAGACAATAACGGGGTGTGGGCTGTGTGGCTCAGTTTAAGTGTGTGTGTGTATACAACACTGAGTCAAAACAAAGTATTTGTTAAGGCTATTCTTATTGCTTTGTTAAAGTAGATGCTGATTGTTTTATTTACTGAGACAATACAGTTTTCTAAAACTGGCGAGGGGCTGAACAAGATACACATTTAAAATCAAGTCACGCATGCAAAAATGAAAAAAACTAATATCAGCAGATGAAAAAGTGTTGCCAAGGGCTGATGGATATCCTCCTGAGGTCATTTCTGAAAACAGCCTATGATAGAACTGGTTTGCAAGACCTCACATACAGAAGTGAAATGTTACTACAGCTTGCCACTGATTATCTCCACATATTGTCACTGTTAATGAAATATTTCATGACATTGTCGGATTTTCCAAACCTCCCCCAGAGGTTTGAGGTAAACTTTCTCTGCTGTCTCTGCACACACTGATCAAACTGTTAAACCAGAGGAAGTGACAAAGCTTGGTGGTTTCTGCATCTGATCAGGCAAACTTTTTCTTGACAAATGTATAAATCCCCTGACACATTTTGTGCCACGGCACTGACCTATAATTGAATTCCTTGAGTTTCGGCTACATATGCTAACTTGACCTCAATTAACACACTTGCATTAAACTGCAGTTACCTGATAGTTGTCACTGCAATAATGTAATTTCCACATGTTTAACTCCAATACACAAAACACTTTTTCCTGCACCCATACCCCTGAGACGATGTCACTAATTGGTCTGCAGTTCAAATATTTGTATTGGGTTTAACTAATGTTTGCCCCTTGAACTTGCCCCAGCAACATCAAAGGATGATTTATTTG